TTTATAGTGTTTTTACTTTTATAGTAATTTCACTTTTCACGCATTTAGCTATATAATTACACTGTGATTTTGTGAAAAAGTTCACGTAAAATCATTGTGAAAAGTGAAAAGTGAAAAATTCCGCTCGTAATTACATGATTGACCTCCTGGCCCACGGTTACGGTCGGGTTATGGTAGAGTAACAGAGAGCTGTCGTTTCTTTCTATCTCCGTATAGCAGGTTGGCGATCCCGCTGCGGCAGAGTCGAGCGAGTTTGTGTGCTCTCACGGACAGGTCAACGGCGTATGCCGCTCTTACTCTATCCTATGAGGCCCCGCTCGTCGGTCTCTTTTTAAGTCTAGAGATTTAACTCTACGGACTAAGGACGAGACCGTGCCATCAATTGAGGATGTGGGTGATGAGAGGTCTTAATTAAAAGGAAAAGATTATAATACGTACAATATTAATTTATTCATTTAAGGGTGTTTACTGTTACAATTTTTAGGTGTGTTGTCGTGTGGATGGATGTGATGTCGCGAATTTTACAATGAATCGGAGGGTCATCGCTCGGAGGCTAGAGAAGGGGAATAAATATATATGTATGTATGCGTGTCGCGAGAGTGTGTGTGAGGGGCCTCCGGCGGGATTCTACAAATGTAAGTGTGTCGGGTGCATGTGTAAGACACCGATTCGTGGTGTAGAAATCATTCTAGATCTATTTCTATAATCTCATAAACTTTAGCGGAACTAGGGGGAATATGGAATAAAAATGGTGGACGGAGACTAAGCGGATGTCATTTAGATAAAGAAATTTGACAGGGAGGAGTTTTCTGGATGGGGTAGTGGATATCAAGTGGAAGAGGTCGGAAGGATCTATTTTTAAAGGATCAATTACAAAGGGGATTCTTTTTAGTAGTGCGCCGAGTATCCGTCGAACACCGAAGCCGCACCAGGTTCCGAGCTACCTACCAAGCCATACGGGCCTAAAGGAGAAAAGAAGTCGCAGCCAGAGATCAACTAAGTAGTAAGTTCACCCACAAATTTTAATCGGAGGTTCCACCACTTGAGAATTCAATTCGAGGTTAATATTCGGAATCCATCAGAGACGCATAATCGCCTAGAAGTATCGCGAAACCATATTATTTTGTTTCTCCGCAACCAACTTCTTTTGTAAATATGTTAGATAATAAAATGCTCCAAAATTATTTAAAATAAGGTAAAGTTGATACGGCAGTTTGAAGCAAACACTGATGTTGAAGTGTAAGGTGAAAAATGTTTATTAAAGAATATGTGTGGTCTGTATAAACGTTTCGACCCTTGATTTGGGTCTTTATCAATATAAATTAATGAGTATATAGATGGATTTACGTTAGTAAAGATGTGTGTCACAAACACATAAAGCTGTCACATCTTCACAGAAGCGATATAGTAACTTCAGTTACTCGCTTTACCTTATTTCAACTTCTTTTGATCACTCTCGCCGGGAGAGCAGTTCGCGACTCCAATCGTGAATAGCGTCCGACCGAGAAACCAACTCCTTTTGACCACCCTCGCCGGGAGAGCTGTTCGCGACTCCAATTGTGAATAGCGTCCGACTGAGAAACCAACTCCTTTTGACCACCCTCGCCGAGAGAGCTGTTCGCGACTCCAATTGTGAATAGCGTCCGACCGAGAAGTCAACTCCTTGTTTGACCACCCTCGCCAGGAGAGCAGTTCGCGACTCCAATCGTGAATAGCATCCGACCGAGAAGTCAACTCCTTGTTTGACCACTCTCGCCGGAAGAGCAGTTCGCGACTCCAGTCGTGAATAGCGTCCGACCGAGAAGTCAGCTCCTTGTTTGACCACTCTCGCCGGGAGAGCAGTTCGCGACTCCAGTCGTGAATAGCGTCTGACCGAGAAGTCA